CCAGATTGTTCATCCAGCCTATCTTATTTAGGCTGGATTTTATTTAGACAGACCTGCGGAGATAATAACATGCCTCAAAACAAGACAGAAAAACCAAGCAACAAAACAAAACCCACAACACAACAACAAGAAAGAAAAGCTTGTAGTTAGTTCCAGGATTGTTTGTTGGCCTTTAGGAGCATTTTCCGGTTGAATCTAATGGGGTGCCAAGCCCTGGCCCCAAAGTCTATTTTTGGTATTCCCTGGGGACTGCGTTGCTTTGCTCCCCTTGCTGTTCTGTTGCACGCCATGTTTTGCCTCGGTGTGGTAGGATCAGATCGGGCGAATTCCCACACTGTGTCTCCAGTGTTGTCCCCTGTAGGGCTATGGGTCAGTGCATAGCACTTCTTATAGTGGTATGTACGTGCTAAATAATAAATATGTGTTGACAGAATGAAGGGGGGAACTGGTTTTAAGTATTATGCTACATTGGAATAAATAAACACCCAGTTATTTATCATATGAATGAGATTTATTTTATGGCATTAATAGCCCATAGCAGTAGTATTTTGCAAACTGAGATCCAGTGCTTTCAAGGATTTTGCAATACTGCCCTCGATACTTTTTGGATTTTCATTTCAGTGATCATCCAAAAAAATTAAACATATCTGCATAACCAAATACTGGCAGGAGGTTCTAGTGGCCCTGTTCGCTTTTGTGCCTTTTTTGAGCATGTTGCCTCTAGATAGTATAGTACTTGGTCAGGGGTTAGGAAGCAGATAGATACATCCACCCCCCAATGAAGGCCAATGACATTACACCACTCTGCCAGAGATTGCACAGTCGTTCACAAAGTAAAAGGAGATGAGAGAAATGCACCATTCCTGGTGGCAATACAAGCTTGCTGAGGAGTCCCTGATGGTACTAACTGAGGGGCTAGCAGTTCTAATCCAATTAAAGCTGTCTCAAAAGGAAGGCTTTGGAAACTCTATGTAGCAGTTCTCTTCTGCACACACTGGGACTCCCTAAGTTGGAATCGGCTTGATGGTCACCTAACACCTGAACTCTTGGTGACATGTTCCTGCTGGGAAAGGTGATTTAGTTTTGACAAAGCATGATCAGTGGTCCCTTGACGTTGATATTGCTCATTTCAGTCCTATTTGGCTCTATCAGGGGTGGGTTTTTTTCATTTATTTTGAAATGTTATTTTTGTTGTGAAGCTACAAAAGCCCATTCGATGTAAAGATTTGGGACCTAGATTTATGATTGCACCCATTTAAGCGGAGAATGAGATCGTCAACAATGGCTCTTACCGTCAGGGAAGGGCTGTGGAGTCGCTCTGAGTCGGCATTGACTTGATGGCCCCGAGTTTGCTTGTTTGTGTGTTTTGGCTGTTTTTTGTAGTTTGCTCAAATGCTTATTTTTACAAAATGTAGAGCTTGAGGCCTGGAGCACAGAAATCTGTTTCTCTGAAGTCTAGGCATGGTACTTCCGTTCGCACAGCTGTTGCAGCTGCTGCTTCTCGAGGTGGTGGTGGTGGGAGTGGTGGTAGGAGTGGGGTGGGGGTGGGGAGATGGGGGTGGAGGTGGGGTGGGTGGGTAGCGGATGGTGGGGGTGGAAAAAGAAGAGCAGCCGCTTCTGGAAATGTAGGCATGGGGACTGCAGACAAGGGGATGCTTGCAGACAACTGGGCGCTTTCTCTACAAGTTTGATTTTGACTGGCTCACCGTGTGAGAATTCTTTTTCTCAGTGCCTTTCCTGAAATGGCTTTGGGAAATAGAGTCGTTTTTGCTTGCAGATGTGAAAGAAAAAAAAAATCATCTGTAGTTCCGTCGATCATGGCAATCTCCATATTCGATATGGAGCACAAGGAGACCAAAGGAGATATTTAAAGTCATTCCAATAGAAGATCCGTAGAAAGGGCTGTGGAATATCTGATACTGTCCTCCCCCAGCTTGCCCACCTCCTGGCCGTGCAATGGGCAGTTGGAGCAGAAAGTCTTGAAGTGAGGGGTTTGTTTTGAGTTACATTCATAGAAGGAGCACCGAGTGAGTCTTACTCCAGAGTCAGCTTTGCTAAGGTTCCTGGAGTTAGTCCATCAACAATTACTTACTGAGCACCTTACTCTGACCCACGGCTCCCAGGTAGTGCAGTGGGCGTTAGCAGCGAGTGTGTGAGAAAAAGATGGGGTGGTCTTTCATAAAGACTACAACCTGGGAAACCCTACGTGGAAGCCCGACTCTGTCTTGTAGGGTTGCTCTGAGTCTGAATTGGCTCCACAGGGAGATTTTCATGTGTGCCAGGCTTTCTACTAGGCCCTGCAGACATGCTGTAACCTGCCTTTGGGCCTGACCTGCAGACGGGACTTGCTGATTGTGGATTTTATGTCTCCGTCTGTACTTGGCACAGTTTAGATGAAGATGAGTGGGCAACTGGGAAAAAATTAGTCCGCTACTGGTGCTCATTTGTTTAATTCTCAAGGTAGAAATAGGGTTAGAGATGATAAAGACTCAGATTAATGTGTTCCCTTTTATCTTTCTCTGTTTTTAAGGGGCGTCATGAAAGTTGACATAAGTCTTCAGAAGGTGGACATTGACCAATGCTCAAGTGACGGCTGGTTTTCAGGAACACACAAATGCCACCTTAACAATTCAGAGGTAAGACATGACAATAAGCCCTGTGGGACCCAGAGCTCAGTCATGCTTCGCTGTGTGGGTAAGTGAGCACGAGGCTTTGTACTTCACTGGGAAGGCAATCTCCCCATGTCGGTCTCTCACTGCTGTGACATGAACTGAAAGAAGAGTAGAAAGCAAAACTTGTGTAGACTCATCATTTGGTGAGGGGCTAGGAGAAGGCTAAAGCTAACATGACATTGGAAATTTGGCCTGGGTTCACGGCTGACCTTATTCTTCAGAGGGAGCCAGAATATGAAAATGGCCATTGTATTAGTCTGGGTACTTTGGAGAAACAAATCCACGGCAACTCACCTATAAGAGAGAGTTTT